ACCAGAAGACGACAGCGGATTCCTCTTGACCAGCTGTCGATTGGCTTTACTGGAAGATTCATGTTGACGCCGTCATATGACGGACGAAAGCTTAACACCTTTTCACAGGAATCGAAGGAGATTGCCTCGGAAACAGAGTCAGCATGAATCTTCCAGTAAAGCCAATCGACAGTTGGTAAAGAGGACTCCACCGTCGTCTTCTGATGGAACCCAACACTTTCACTCGAAATGGAAGTAAGCTCAACAATTATGAGAATTTCCAGTCAGGCCGTGGACGTGGTACATTTCCAGACATTTCGCTGGCATTGTCAGTGAGTCTTTCCACTCCTAGCACCATACTACAACGCGTCGGAGACAAGTGAAGCCGATCATTTGACCAAACGTGCGCTAAACAGTTCACACCTTCATTATTACAATTTTTACCGTGCTTATTTAAATGTGGTATGGTGTGCGCTTTTGAGCGGCTTTCGTGGGAACTTCCCCACCACACACCGGCTTTCTCACCCCCTTCACCATTGTGTTGGGAATGTTGATCAGAGTCTGCCATATTGTTACGCAGTCCTCCTTCCATAGGTCTTATCATAATTTCTCTCTTGTTCGGTAAGATCCGTCTGCTCTCTCATTGGTTCACGTATTTAACTCGACCCCTGCCACCCCATCTGTGCTACTCGAGGCGTTACTCGCCCCTCCTTGCGTCTGGGTGACTAATTCGAGACTAAAGCCTCTGAGTAAGTCTCATGTTCATGCCTTTGCTGTATGGACTACGTCTTTGGTAAACCTACCGTCAGCCAACTAGCTCCAGTCTCCGCCGAGTCTATCCTATTTCTATCCCTAATACCAAGTCCATGATTTCCTATGCCCGAGTCTCTTGTGTGCCAACCGACAAATGCTGTGGTACTGCTTGCTTTGATTAGGTTCAATGTTGAACCACAACGTTTGTGGGTTGGCCCACAAGGGACTAGGGCATAGGAAGTGATAGACTTGGTATTACGGATAGACACGGTGGAGGCTATAGTTAGTTGACTAGAAAGAGACGTGCTTCATGGATCACTTCTATGATCAACCACGTCTATTGTTGGCCAAATAGCTCTATTCTCCACCGTGTCTATCCTGTATCAATCCCTAATACCATGTCTATCACTTTCTATTTCCTAGTCTCTTGTGTGCCGACCCAAAAACATTGTGGTTCAATATTGAACTTAATCAAAGCAAGCAATACCACAACATTTATGGGTTGGCACACAAGAGACAAGAGCATAGAAGTCATGGACTTGGTATTAGGGATAAAAACAGAATAGACGCGGCGGAGACTGGAGCTAGTTGGCTGACAGTAGGTTTTACAAGAGATGTGGTCCATGTAGCAAAAGCGTGACCATGAGACTTACTCAGAGGCTTGAGCCTCTAATTAGTCAATCAGACGCAGAGTGTGGAAAATAACGCCTCGAATAGCACAGATGGGGTGGGAGAGGTCAAGAGAAATACTTGAACCAAGGCGTTAGCAGACGGATTCTACGGGGCAAGAGGGAGACCGTGATAAGACCTATGACAGACTCTGATCAACATTCTTAGCACCAGGGTGAAGGGGGAGTGAAAACACCAGCGTGGAGTGTGGAGGCCTCTCATAAACGCCACACTACATTGAAATAAGCACAGGAAAAAATTGTAACAGTGAAGGCGTGATAGGAGGATATAGGAAATGTGACTAGCCTAGGGCAAAAAGAGAGATATCACAACTGTTTAGCACGAGTTTGGTCAAAGGATCGGCTTCATTTGTTTCTTTGACGACTTGTAGTGTGGTGCTAAGAATGGAAAGACTCACTAACAATGCCAGTGAAACGTCTGGGAATGTACCGCCCACGGTCCGACTTTAGAAATGATCATGCATACTATGGACTTCGGACTGGGTGCATTCCTCTAAGTCTTTCTACGAATATGACCAAGTTGTAAAAACAAGGTCAAACAGCCTCTATTTATTTTTCGTTTATAATTAGGGTTTCGAGACTACCAGTAAATCAGTTAAACAAGATATATTCACTCTATTTTTTTGAAATCCACATCAGCCCCGTGATCCAAGGACACTCACGGCAGTGTGGCGCTGTGGTTAACGTGTCGAGATTACACGATACACTGTCATGGTTCGAATACCATTTGGTTTGTTGCTAAGACCTAAGCGAGGTCGAAACTTCAGTCCATTCTAGATGAGGACACCTTTTGGGGGAGCAAGTCTACACGAAATGCAATGGAAACGTCAGCTCTACTCATATGATTTTGGGAAAATTCAGCTACCAGTCCTTCGTCAGCTTAAACGAAACAGGGTGAATACATATAATTGATTTACTGGTAGTCTCGAAACTAATTTTAAACGAAAAAACACACAATAACTTCAAATACTCATACTTTTCATTTGGAGAACATTTGGACCGTCTATCTATACTATGGTGTTATAAGGTCTAATGAGTATACAGATTAGTCTAAAAAT